TCAACCAGTGACGTGGCTCACATCTTATGGGACGCTTTTCTTACAAGGAAGATGGGAAATCTAGAAAGGCATGTTGCTGCCCTAAGTAAAATCAGAGTCTTTTAAAAAGGTTAAAGGGAGAATGGATTTTGTGTAGGCAGCTAGCACTGTCTACCATCCATAATTCATATATTAAAGAAATTTAACAGAGTAATTATTACATTCATTCCCAGGTAGTAGGACATAGTTCAGGAAATCTTTGATCTCCATGGTTGTCAACCTCAAAACATTAGATCTGTAGCCAAGACAAGCTAAGTTTCTGTTAAGTCCGTATTGAATCTTTTCATACCTTATTTATTTCAGTCTTAGGCTTTTCATCCCTCTGTCACTGCCTACAGTCATGGGCATCACTTCCGTTTTCTACCCAGTTTGTCAAGCAGTATGCAGTTAGCCTAAAATTATATCTCTTAAATTTAAATGGTAGTCCTTTAGTTCTACTGTTTTAGGATTTGTTCAATAAATTTGTGTGTGCCCTTATCACTCATAATTATAAATAGAGCCACCAGATCCTGCTCCAGGCTTTTATCTCGAATCCTGTAAGTTCTATAAGATGACCAATTTAACCTTTTTGTTTTTCCATTCTTGTGGTTGTTCTGTCTTTATTTATAAAATATGCTGATATTAGTATTTCTGGTTTTGTCAACTTAGGCATGATCTAGTGGCTTCGTGCTATCCTTTATATTATATACTAAATATGTGTGTATACACGTACTGTTAACTTTAAAAGTAAAACTGCCAGTTATTTCACCAGCAAAAAAAGAGTTTATTTGGGAATAAAAGAGAATAAACAAGGTGGCACATAACCTTGGAAGAGTCGGGGCAACAAAGGAGAGGCATGCTTTTTTAAGGAGAAAAGGGGTATGTTGGGAAGGCTGTTATTATTATTTTTTAAATATTTTATTTACTTATTTGAGAGAGAGAGTGTGTGAGCAGGGAGGAAGGGTAGAAGGAGAAGCAGACTCCTAGCTGAGCAGGGAGCCTGATGCGGGACTCAATCCAGGACCCCGAGATCATGACCTGGGCTCAAGGCAGAAGCTTGACTGACTAAGCCACCCAGGTGCCAAGGAAGGCTGTTGTGAATAAAAGGAAAGTCCAGTAAACTGGACTCAAGTCTCCATCAAGACTTGGGATAAACTGGGAATTCCGAGTATGGTGGTTTCTCATTGGCTGAGCATTGTGGGGGTGAGGGGGACCAGGAGAGGCAGGGGGTGGAGGGAGGTAAGGAAAGCCTTTCTTCCTTAGGTTGGAGTAGTAGAGTAGGATCCATCTTCAAGGTCAAGCCGCTATAAGATCATGTCCCTCACTTCCTGTTGGGTATGCAGTGGACTGAGTCATAGGGTGTGAGAGCTCCTCCTGCTGAAACCTCCTGACTCCATTTTAGTAAAATTTCCCATTACTAATTTTTGTGACACTGTGTATTATCATTTACGTAAAGTTCTGCTAGAATCAACATAGAATTCTTGAGATTCCTTCTAGCTCTGGAATGCAATAAATTTATTATCGTTTTGAATGAGACCTAAAGTCTAATCAATATACTTATATGTATATTTGCAATATTAGTAATGAATTATTGCAGAAGAGTTAAATAGTTCACTTAAATATTTATCAGCTGGTTTATCTTTCATTCATTATTCAACAGCTATGTGCCAAGCTCTTATCTAGTTGCCAGGAACATGTGTTGAACAAGACAGAAAAAAATCATGCCCTAATGGAACTTATAGGGAAGACAGGAAATTTTAGAAAGTAAACAAATAGATACCTTGTAATGTCACATGGTAATCAGTACTTTGCATATATAGGAAACATATGGGGTGCATGGCTGTTTTAGATGAATTGGTCAGGGGACATGTTGTTACAGGATTTCTTTTCCTTTAGTGCCTACGGTTCTTGGTCATGCCACTTTGAAGAATGTAGAGGTAGACCAGAGGAAGAGTGGTGGGCAGCCGAGCAAAGCTTATGGAGCGAGACTAAAACAAAACTTACCTAGTGATAGTACAGAGCTCCTGAAGAGGGAGAGGACCCGAGAGGGTTGCCAGCAGAGTTTCTAAGTCGACGGCTTAGAGTTTATAGGCCTGTCGCAGGCTGTTTTAATCTGATTAACCTATGCGCCTGTCACCCAATCAAGTTTTTGTCATTTACCCATCACATGGGAAGGGGTGGAGGGCTCCTTCCAGGGTAGTGTAAAATCCTTTCAAGGGTGGTTTCCTCTTAGGGTGGGCCCCCTTGTCCCTGACTGGCTTTCTGCCAACTATCCATCATCAGTATTTCTAAGGAGATGACATTGTGCAGAGACATGAATAATGAAATGGAGTTAGCAGTGTGAGAAGAAGGGGAAAGAGCATTTCAGGCAGAGAGAATAGTACATGCAAAGGCTGTGAGACAGGAATATGCTTGGCATGTTGAAGAGCACGAAGCAGGCAAATTTGGCGAAATGGAGCAAGCAAAGGGCAGTCCTAAAATATGAGGTAGACTCATCAGGCGGGGTCCAGAGGCTGTGGCAAGTAGGATACCTTTTGGGTGCAATGGCCGGCCAGTGGAGGGTTTTAGGCTGGGGAAGAAGAAAGTGATAGGACATTACTTGAGAAAGGAATATCACCTTGGGTGTTTTATAGAGAGTAGACTGCAGAAGGGCAGAGCTAGAAGCAGGAAGGCTAGTTAAGGAAGCTGTTGAGAGTTCATGATAATTTGGACTAGGGCATAAAAACAGTATTACCCATTTTTCTAGAGATAGTTGAAACGGAATCAACTTCTTTTAAGTCTTAAATGAAGTTTGGGGCATTACTCATTTTTTTAGAGATAGTTGAAACGGAATCAACTTTTTTTTTTCTTTTAAGTCTTAAATGAAGTTTGGGGCTAGAAATAATTTGTAAAGTGAGTGTAGTGACACGGTTCTGAATATGTAACTAAGTGGCAAATAAGTGACCGGTTGCCTGGGCTGCTCCAGCACCAGGTCCAAGGAGGGCACAGGGGAGGGGTTTTTGCCTTTTCATTGTCTGCAGCTCCTCTCCTGTAGTGCTGCCGACTTGTAAAATAGGTGAGGGAACGTGATTTATTGCCAACATGATTGGAACGACGTCAACCGGAAATGCATGAGATCTGAGATACGCTACGAGACTTTTCCCTTTATGTTGCAATTCTTGATGGGAAATCAAGATCCTTTGCAGACCTTTCCCAGGCCTTCCATTAAGGTAACGCCACCCACTGGTTCTACACTTCAGTGGGCCTGGGAGCCACCTGGAGAGCCTGCGGAGACCAGATTCCAGGACTTCACCTGCATTTTCTTGCTCCGTAGGCCTGGGGTAGGGCCTGAGGATAAGATGAGCTGAGACCCCAGCTCTGTTGGCGCTGCCAGGCATTGGGCTACTTGTTGAATAGGAAAGAGCTGGACCAGATGTTTCCAATTTCTGTTTACTTCAGTTGCCTGGCCTGCTTTTCCTAATGCTGACATCATAGGGGGCTGCTGGCTGTTGAGGACCTCAGGGGAATGGGCACAGCTCATCCCAGGCCCAAGCCGTCCACCTTCCTGGCCAGCGTCCTTTGGGATCCTCTCAAGCTTGCACATAAAAGGCTGCACACTTTTCACAGACCTGCCTGTGTTCTCTCCTGTTCTGTCCCTCTCTCCTCCATGGTCGGCCTTAGCTGAAGTTGCTCTGGGGTTTTTCTTCCAGTTCCTTGCATATCTACAAGCTGCTGTCTTTCCTTCCATCTGTGTAACAAATTGCCTTTCTGACTCCCCTTCAGATCAATGCTTGCCACTCATCGTTTCTCCTCCTTTTACATGTATCTTTTAAAATATTTTTATAGCCCTATAAAAATTCCATTTGTGATATATCCTGTCTTTATCGCCTTACTCCTCTTTCTCTTCATATTCGTTTCATACCACAATATGCTTATCATCAGGAAACAGCTGACACCCCCTGTTATTATGGATCTGCTTACACGATGCACAACATTATCTGAGCCATCGATCCTTCTGGATCTTATTTTTAAGTAGGCTCCTCTGTTGTATGGATAGGCTCCATCTTTTGACCTCTTTGGATATTGGTTTGATCTATCACTTACGATTTCCCAATGTATTTAAACTTTTCTTTTTCAGTTGTGTAATTTAAGTTCAGTAACATTCACACTTTTTAGTGTACAGTTTAATGAGTTTTGAAAAACACATATAGTCATGTAGCAACCACCGCAGTTGAGATGCAGGGCAGTGCCTTCACTCCAGTAAGCTCTCTCTTGCCTCTCTACAGCATTCCTTCCCCCAGCCCTTGGCAACTGCTGATTCGTTTCCTGTCCCCATAGTTTGGGTTTTTCCAGAATATGGAATTAAAATAAAAACAGAAATGTTTTATTGCATTCAAATTTGAATTTAGTCCTTGCATTTAAAAAAGGAATTCTAAAAGCTGAGGATGGGTAAATTGTATGTCAAATATACTTAACTGTCCGTGGTAATAAGTATTTTGTTTTATTTATCCTTTTGAGAAAGAATGAATATGCAGTGTGGCTTTTCGTGATTCTTTGGTTTCAGAATATTACTAGGTTTCTGCAAAATTAGCCTTTTCTGTTTTTATTTTAAAACCAATCTTTTTTTTTTTTTTTAATTTTTTTTTTTAATTTTTATTTATTTATGATAGGCACACAGTGAGAGAGAGAGAGGCAGAGACACAGGCAGAGGGAGAAGCAGGCTCCATGCACCGGGAGTCTGACGTGGGATTTGATCCCGGGTCTCCAGGATCGCGCCCTGGGCCAAAGGCAGGCGCTAAACCGCTGCGCCACCCAGGGATCCCTGTTTTTATTTTAAAAGAAAATAATTTAAAAAACACTTTCTGAGTATGTACAGATATGAAAATTTTTGTTCATTTCATTTACTTACTATTTAATAAAGTAAATGAAAGTTAGGTCAGGAAATACATAATGTTTTTAAAGGTAGACAAACTGACATTTCTTTTTATTTCTTTTTTATACAGGTGTTTGCTTCAGAATGGTAAGTCAATTTTTCGCTATTTTTCCTATTTATTATTTCAATTTACAGAGATAGAGCAGTTTTCTATTTAGTGCTAGTCTACTGCTTATTTTCTATCCTTGACAGTAAATGAACTATTTGTATTCTTCCAAATTACTGCTTGAGAATTTTTTTATTAATGTTGTCTTTTAAAAGTAGTCTATCAAAAACGTTACAGCCTGCCTAGTTTGTAGTTAATGTTTTGTATGAATTTCAAAAGTACCTCTACTGGGATAATCAAATTAAACATTCTGGTTAGGTACGCTGAATATAAGATATGGGATCTGCCCCTTGTTCTGATGGAAGAAAACTGCCAGGCAAATGTCTATATCTTGAATTGCACAATGAAAAATGCTCATGTTGCATAAGGATGTGGTTCTCAGAAAAAAAAAAAAAAGAAGTGGTTCTCAGATTTTTAGAAGTTGAGACTCCTTATTGATTTTAACATTTTAATTTTGTTAATATACTCCTTTCCTGAAAGTAAAACGTCCACGTATTTTTCAGACTGAGCTGACAGTCACTAGATTAGCTCTCTGTTCCTAAACTCCGAGGATTTAGGATGTTCCCAACCATTAAAGTCTCCTCATTTTGAGATAGTCCCCTGCCTCACAGTTCAGATTGTCTCCTTTTTCGTTATTATTTTCAGAGCTAGCTCCTACATAAATCCTACATATAACCATCTCTGTTTAGTTGGGGCTATACAACGTATAGATTCTTGGTCACTCTGACCTCCAAGACCACGTTTTTAAAAATTTCCAGTAGACAGGATCCACAAGAATTTAGTATGATGTAGTTAAAATAGTTCAAAATCAAAATGTTGCTAGGTTTTTATTTGTCAGCATAATGGAATTTGGAACTGAGAAATTTTAAAAAACTGTAAAGAATAATAGGAGAACTAAACTTCCCTATAGACAATTATAACATTTGTGTGGCAAGTCCACAGCCAATGGAAGACATCAGAATCTTTTAATTGAATACTGTATATTGGTCACAACTCAATATTTTCCCTCAGTGATTGAAAATCTTGGAGTGATCATCATTTGGAACCCAGACAATGTAATTCAGTGTTAGCAGGTATAGGAGCAATGCGACTGAATTTTATGGATCCCAGAACACATTATGGAATCTGTTTTCTGAAGTAATTCCCACTAACCATTTATTTTCTCATAACGTGCTTGTCTTTGAGGAAGGAAGAATTTAATAAAAAATACCATTTAAGTGGAGGTTCTTGTAAACATAGGTATGATTATAGGTCAGCTACATAATTTTCAGCATAGACTGTAGGAAAAAAATTATCAGTTACATTTTTTTGATGCTGGACTTTGTTCCCTTATTTTCTCCTAAAACCAGTACACGGAAGACGAGGCTAAGAAAATAGGAGTGGTTGGCTGGGTGAAGAATACCAGCAAAGGCACTGTGACAGGCCAAGTGCAAGGCCCAGAAGAGAAAGTCAATTCCATGTAAGTAGCAAGACTAATAATGCACTCATGTGATTAATGAACTTATTTTAATATTTCACTGGACCAAAGAATTGTATCAATGGAACAAATTCAGTTTGTAGATTATAACTAAACCAATGTGCTTTTAGGCATACCAGCAAGGAAATCCTCAGATATGGGAATGGAATTTGTACATTTAGGATGGATTTCCCACTTGGGCAGGCCCTCCAAAAGAGCAATGGCGTCATTCTCCAATCTATTTGAATTGTGTTTGTCTCTTCTTATGTGGGGGAAACATCTGGGCTCACATATCTTTCATCCAAAGTGGTTGTGAAGAAGCATAGTGCCTTTGGATGGTTCTTGAAATTCTTTTAATTAATTAAGTTTTTTGAGAGAGAGCAATGGGAGCATGTGCGAGCAGGGGGAGGGAGGGGAACGGACGGAGGGAGAGGGAGAGAGGGAATCTCAAGGAAGCTCCACACCCAGTGTGGGGTGCAGCTCAACCTCACAATCTTGAGACTGTGACCTGAGCCGAAATCAAGAGTCTGACACTTAACCTACTGAGCCACCCAGGCGCCCTTGGTTCTTGAAGTTCCTAAAGTATACTTAAAGGCAAAGAGGCTGTCCTCTTCTTTTTATAAAGTATCTTATTTATCTCATTGTAATTTTATTTTTACTGCCAATTAAAGTGTGTTTTATGAGTTGTGTGGTTACCAAAACGAGTCCTTGCATTCCAAAGGAGACCAGGTTCAGTAGTAAGGAAAGTAGTGCCCTGTCATATTCAAAGACCTTATCTTTTCAGTTTCATATTCCACTGCTTTTGTAGCATTTTTTAAAATAAAAAATAGCTAATATTTGTTGAGTATTTGCAGCATTAGGCAATATGGTACACATTTCACATAGTTTATCTCATTTAATCTTCACAACATCTTATGGCATAGGTCCTAAGTCATACCCAATTCATTTTAACTCATTTTATTTTATTGTTTGCAATTTATCTTTGTTTTCATTACTTAATGCTTTCACATTTTAAAAGTAATACTTTTTGAAAAAAAGTAATACTTTTTGCTTATTGTAATAAGTGAAGTAATAAGATGCTGAGAGATAAAAAAGCAAAGCTATTAATCTGCCCCTTCCCCTCTGCTTCCCTCCCCTTGACAGAACCTGTGCCTCTGGCCTCTTGAATACTTTCTGAAGCTTTCTCTTTCATTTGAAAGTATTTAAGCATCTGTAGTATGGGCTTTGCTTGTTTTTGTGAAAATAGAATACTGTTTTAAAAAAAGATTTTATTTATTTATTTGAGAGAGAGAATGAGAGAGTGAGCATGTGCACACGAGCACGAGTGGGGGTGGGAGGAGAGGGAGAGGGAATAGCAGACTCCCCTCTGAGTAGGGAGCTGGATGTGGGACTAGATCCCAGGACCCTGGGATCGTGACCTGAACCAAAGGCAGACACTTAACTAACTGAGCCACCCAGGAGTCCCATATTGGATTCTTTATGCATATTTTTCTGTAACTAGTTTTTCATTTTATAGACATTCATCAATAAGTAAATTTTTAAAAATATTTTTAAATTTCTTTATAATTAAAATTTTAATTTTAAAATTAATTTTTAATTTTTTTCTAATTTCTTTACATGTAAGTACATACTTTGTGTATAAAACTGTACCCCTACTTGGAAAGTGGGATCTAAAAATTCAGTTTCATAAAATATACAGTAGCAGTTACTGAAAAACGATAATTTTCAGTAGGATTGCCACAAAATGCCAAAAAGATTATGAGACTTATGTTGTACAGAACTAAGTAGTTCAGTGGATGATAAAGTACCAAATGACTATGAAGTATTGGGAATGGGGGCTGTGAGGGAGGATAGATACTCATGCCTATCATGATATCCTAATCCATGTTGTAGCAGGTTTTTGATTAATATCCTTAACATAAATGTAATGATATCATCCATTCTGCCCATTTTTTCTGGTCAACCCCTGCACACTCCGTTTCTTCCTTCCTTTTTTTTTCTTTTTAAAGATTTATTTTTTATTTTTATTATTTTATTTTATTTTTTAAATTTTTATTTATTTATGATAGTCACACAGAGAGAGAGAGAGAGATAGGCGGAGACATAGGCCGAGGGAGAAGCAGGCTCCATGCACCAGGAGCCCAACTTGGGATTCGATCCCTCCGGGATCGCGTCCTGGGCCAAAGGCAGGTGCTAAACCGCTGCGCCACCCAGGGATCCCTAAAGATTTATTTATTTGACAGAGAGCACAAGTAGGCAGAGCAGCAGGCAAAGGGAGAGAGAGAAGCAGATTCCCTGATGAGCAGGGAGCCCAATGCAGGGCTTGATCCCAGAACTCTGGGACCATGACCTGAGCTGAAGGCAGACACTTAACCTAAGATTAAGCCACCCAGGTGCCTCCCCTCCCCTGTTCCTTCCTAGTAACACCAGTAATCTAGGATAGCAACTGAGTGGGCTTCCTCCCACATTTGTCTCCATATTCACTCCCCCCCCCCACCACATACATGCTTGGAGGCACATACAATTTTGGTTTGTGATCAGTATTTGCTTTTTTTTTTAATTTTTAATTTTTATTTATTTATTATAGTCACAGAGAGAGAGAGAGGCGCAGAGACACAGGCAGAGGGAGAAGCAGGCTCCATGCACTGGGAGCCCGATGTGGGATTCGATCCTGGGTCTCCAGGATCGCGCCCTGGGCCAAAGGCAGGTGCCAAACCGCTGCGCCACCCAGGGATCCCTGCTTTTTAAAAATGGGATCATAGTATATACACTTCTCTGCATCTCACTTTATGATTCAAAAATATATCCAGGAGACAAATGATCCAATTAGAAAATGAGCAGAAGGGATCCCTGGGTGGCGCAGCGGTTTGGCGCCTGCCTTTGGCCCAGGGCGCGATCCTGGAGACCCAGGATCGAGTCCCACATCGGGCTCCCGGTGCATGGAGCCTGCTTCTCCCTCTGCCTGTGTCTCTGCGCCTCTCTCTCTCTCTCTCTCTCTCGGTGACTATCATAAATAAATAAAAATTAAAAAAAATTTAAAAAAAAAAAAAGAAAAAAAGAAAATGAGCAGAAGACATGAATAGACATCTCTCCAAAGAAGACATCTGGATGTACAACAGACACATGAAAAGATGCTCAACATCACTCATCATCAGGGAAATGCAAATCAAAACCACACTGAGATATCACCTCATACCTGTTAGAATCGCTAAAATAAAAAAACACAAGAAATAACTGTTGGCGAGTATGTGGAGAAAAAAGAACCATTGTGCAGTATTGGTGGGAATGCTAACTGGTGCAGCCACTGTGGAAGAGATTCCTCAAAAAATTAAAAACAACTATCATATGATCCAGTAATTCCACTATTGGATATTTACCCAAAGAAAATAAGAACACTGACTCAAAGAGATATGTGCACCCCTATGTTTATTGCAGCATTATTTACAAATAGCCCAAGTATCCATCCATAGATGAATGGATAAAGAGAATGTTTTATATATAATATATATAATATATAAATATATATAAATGGAATATTACTCAGTCATAAAAAAGGATGAAATCTTGCCATTTGCAACAGTATGGCTGGGCCAAGAGAGTGTAATGCTAAGTGAAATTAGAGAAAGGCAAATGCCATATGATTTCATTCGTGTGGAATTTAAGGAACAAAACAACCGAACAAAGAAAAAAGAGACAACCCAAAAACCAGACTCTTAACTGTAGAGAACAAACAGATGATGGTTACCAGAGGGGAGGTGGGCAGGGAGATGGCTAGAATATGTGAAGGGGATTAAGGGTACAGTTACCAAGATGAACACTAAGTAGTATATAGAGTTGCTGAATCACTATATTGTACACATGAAACTAATATAACAACTCTGTATATTAATTATACTGAAATTAGAAAACAAAACAAAAATACATCCAGGAAAATCCATCAAAGTCAAATGGTAGAGCTTTAATTCATTCTTTTTAATAGCAGCTTAATATTCCACAGTATTAATGTACCATTATTTATTATCTTATTGCTGATAATTCATTTTGTTTCTCTCTTTTTTTTTTTCTCTCTCTCTTTTTTCCTAGTAAGAGCAATGCCATAATGGATATTTTACTGATGATTTTATTTTTGGGAGATAGAGTCCCAGAAGTATGGTTTGTTGGTTGACATGTCTGTGCACTATTAATTTAAAAAATATTTGTCAGACTGCTTTTCAAAACAGCTGTAAACAATTTACATTTTTTTTCCTCTTCATCTTGTGGGCAATTGGTATTATTGTCTCTAATTTTTCTTTTATCTGATTGGGTGTAGAGTGATGTATTATTTTTTCACTATAATTTGCATTTCTCTAATTACTGGTTGTTTAGAGCATCTTCATGCTTGTGGCTATGTGGATTTGTTCTCAGGAACTAATTCCCTTTCACATCCTCTCCCCATTTTTCTATGGAGATGCTTGTCTCTTGCCAATTTTTAAGAGCTCTTTTTATATTGGTAATGATTACTAACTCATTATCTGTTATCTCTTTTGCAAGTATTTTCCCAAATCTATCCTTTGCCTAGTCATTAGTTTTGTTTATTTATGATAGCTTTTGCAACATAAATTGTTTTTAATTTTTATAAGCTCAAATATGGTTATCTTTTCTTTCTCGTTAAGAAACAGATTGTAAGTGTTGCTCTAACTTTTTGATGCTTTATTTACTATATTAAGCAGTTATTCCATCTGGAAATTGTTTTTTATTTATAATATGGGATTGGGGTCTATTTTGTACCAGATGGATAGCCAGTTGTGCCAGCACTATTATTAAATAATCAATCCTTCCCCATTGAATTGAAAAACATTTTATCATGTATTGAAATATATAAACTGGATTTTATTTCTTGGTTCTCTGTTCTGGTCCCCTACTATATCTTTTTATCTATTCCTAGACTAATACTCCACATGGATTTAATTACAGCAGCTTTGTAGGGTATTTCCCTTTACTATTTTTTTCATGGATTTATTTGC